TTTATTATCCGGATATCCGGATAATCCTACCCCCTGATCATTCGGCCAGATATCCCGACCAGAATATCCGGCCAGATAACCTGTGCTACCTAGCTTATAAAGAAGAAAAAAATAGAGAAAACTACATCGCAGTCAGGGTTACAGTTTGCAATTGCATTTCGAACTGCGTTTTAGCAGTTTAGACAGGGCCCAAGTTTCAATTGCAGTTGAAACTCGGGCTCTCCTTTTCTAGCAGTTCAGTCAGGCACGTGGCCGGTTTTCTTTGCTCTTTTTTTTTTTTTTTTTATGACTATGTTGTTTTGTGGGCCTCGCAGATTCATCGTTGCCTGCGTGCAGTACCTCTGTCTTTTGCTGCTCAGTGAAAGGATATGGGTCTCGCTCCACTGGGCAATATTGCAAAAAATATATTTTGAGCTGGATTGGATCAGTCTGAATCTATCTGGTCCAGATACATGCAAAATGTTGAGTACTGTCGCGAACCCTATGTCCTATGGATGTTTTCATGCATGCATTCTGAATTTAGAATTAAAATGTTATACAATATACTTTTGCAAGGCTCAAGGCCTCGATGAGCCCTATTGGGCCCCGTTATCAGCAATGTCCGCCGCCCCAAGTGAAGGCAGGCCCGACCCAGGACGAGAGGCCTATTTTTCGGCTACCACGCTACTGTGGGATATTCAGGCAGTTGCGCAGCGCCAGTTGGTTGAGAGCACCCAGGCCCTGGCTGCCTTTTTCGTATGTAATTGAGGCAGGCCATGGGCCAGATACGCAACAAGAACACTGTCTCCCAACTGGAAGGCGAAGGGCCGCATTGTGTTCGTCGATAACGATGGATCCACCATCGAGTTAGATGATGACTTCCACGAGGGAGTAGGTTCAAAGGCGGGCAGCGCAAAAGCTTCAGGGGGTGGAGCAGTCACTGCCTCAGTCTAGAAAGGTAAGGGACCGGTAGACGTCGTGGAGGCTCTCCGTCTAGGAGTCAAGTAGACCCCAATGCTCCTCCATGGGAGAAAGCGGGTTTCATAGAGGACGTGTGGAGAGACCGTTACACTCGACAGGCTTGTATCTGTTGTGGCCAATATGGTCATAACTAGTTCAAGTGCCGAAATAAGAAGGTGACGGAAAAAATCCCGCCTACAATGGGGCAGGTGATGGGATCCTCCGCTTCCCAGGGTAGCAATGTTGCCAGCAGTTCCGGCACCGCCTCGGGAAACACGTCGGGCCAGTAGGAATAGTAGCTGTTCCCGCTAGGGTCGAGGTGGTGGACAGACCCTCACCATCTCGAGAGATGACCCAAGCTATTGACTCCGTTGTCGTCCCGCAAACACATTCAGACTTATCGATCCTTTGTTCAATGAATGTGTTTGAGTCCTTAGAGGAGCTAGAGGAGGAGTGGTCTAGATCAGACTCACTAGCTTCTTGGATGGCCATGGCCAAAGCCCCTAAGGGTGAATTGTTCATTGCCGAGGTATTTATCGGCGACCGCAAGCCGGGGCCTATTATGACACTTGGTCGATGCAGAATTTTATTAGTCGCGCGTGTGTTGAGGGGTTGCGCTTACAGGGGCAAGTGCAGCGCCTGAGTCGACATGTGCCAACAAACAGCATATGGTAGCGTATGGTAGTCACTGACTACCATTAAAGACATTGAGTGTCTTTTCCCGTACGTGGGAGGGAAACTGAGACATCAAGTCTCATTCCTAGTCAGCGATGATCTCCCAGTGGATATTTTGTTGGGTATGTATTATCTTTCGGTTGCACAACCCCAGTTTGACGGAGACCGTAAAGTGGTCAAACACACTTTGCCCGAAGGGGGGACCGCCAGATTACGTAAGTTTAAAGTTAGTAGTCTGATTGAGTCCTACGGATGCATGTGTGCGGCCGCGTTCTACAACTATTATAAGAAAAATCTGGAGGAGGGTATGTACCTAGTTTACGTCTCTGCAGAAGGTGAGTCGGTGCAAGTACCTCCAGAGATAGAGGGAGTGGTCGCCAGGTACCCTGATCTATTCAAAGAGCCGAAAGGGGTTGTTGAGAGGGAGGTTGTCCACGCAATAAAGATTATCCCAGGATCTAGTATTCTGAAGTGTAGGATCTACCGGATGTCTCCAACGGAGATTGACGAGCTTCGCCGACAACTCAAGGAACTCATAGAGAAGGGTTGGATCCGGCCGAGCGTTTCCTTTTACGGATCTCCTGTCTTATTCATGCCAAAGAAGGGGGGGACCTTGAGGATGTGCATTGACTATCTGGGCCTCAATGCCATCACAATAAAGAACACAGAGCCCCTACCTCGCATCGATGACTTATTGGACTGAGTGCAAGGGTGTCGGTACTTCAGTAAAATAAATCTGAAGTCCGGGTACCATCAGATTGCAATCCGGCCCGAGGATCAACACAAAAGCGCTTTTTAGACTAGGTACGGTATGTACGAGTTTGTGGTGATGCCTTTTGGTCTTTGCAATGGACAAAATTATTAAAATTAACATATAATCTGAGTACGGATGCCGCCCGACGGGGCCGGGTGGGCCGCTCGGGCAAACCGGGCGGGCAAAAAAAATAGCCCATAATTTTTTATTCTTTTTTGAAGGCGGGGTCTTCCTGTGCTCGGCGAGAGGACCCCAAATCTGCAATAAAATTCTGGTTTGGGGGGGGACGGGTTGTCTGGGTGTGAGGGGGGGGG